ATAAACACTGTGTCCACTCTTGGACCACGATTTGTCTCTTTAGGAATAACTGAAGAAAGTGTAGACAGTGTTCCTGCAAGGCAAACTCCTGAATTTATGATTCTCCCCTTTCTCTCCAATTTGCCTTTCACTTCTGCTAAACACGCTTTCTTGTAGAAAAGAAAGTTGCCAAGAACTGGCATGCTCTCAAGGCTCACCTTTTCACTGATTTGCCAAATGGCAATAATTCACAAAAGCCATGTTTGTTGAGGACTACCCTTTGTGGTTAGCCTAACACTGTGAACTGAAGACATTCTTCCTAGACCTTCTCCGGGCCTTTAAAAAGAGCATGGTGTCCCACAGGATGGGAGTGGCTTAAATTAAAACATTTTAAAAATGAAATATTGAATGTGAAAAGTTTATGGTTGGATGATTTGATAACAACTTAATACTTTATTGACATTTCTCTTTTAGCTGCATTTGGCAAACTTTTCTAAGCAAATTGTATATTAAGCATTTTTTATTTACAACTAAATTCATGAATTATCAAGTAGGACAAAAAGAAAATTACATAGGTATGCTTTTTCATGTTTTCCAAAGATGTTATCTAAATAAGAAGTATCAAAATATATTCTCAGCCTAAATTATAGTTAATTAACTCACCAGCTCTGAACCCAGCAGGCACCACCTGAGTCCAAGTATGACAATCCCAATTTGACCCCCAAAACCAATCACGAACCTTGATTCACTTAGTGCCTCTACTTTTAAGAAGAGGAATAATGCTGTGGGATGGTCTGTATGTCAAATGTATTGCTGATTGGTCAATGAATAAATCACTGATTGGTCAGTGGCCAGGCAGGATGTATAGGCGGGACTAACAGAGAGGAGAATTGAGAGAACAGGAAGCTGGTGAGGGAGACACTGCCAGCCGCCATCAGGATAAGGAAGATGTAAAGTACCGGTAAGCCACAAGCCACGTGGCAAGGTATAGATTAATAGAAATGGATTAATTTAAGCTGTAAGAACAGTTAGCAAGAAGCCTGCCACGGCCATACAGTTTGAAACCAATATAAGTCTCTGTGTTTATTTGATGGGGTTTGAGCGGCTTGGGACTGGCGGGTGAGAGAGATTTGTCCTGACTGTGGGCCAGGCAGGAAAACTCCAGCTACAAATGGCCCCCAACGTGGGGCAAGAGTTTCCACCTAAAACCTGAGAAAAAAGATTCTAAAACGGAGCGAAAAACAGCTTCCTAATTGTCTCTCTCAAATGAGCGGCAGCTGCCGGTTTGAGCTACTGGCGGGTTGCTGTCGTGCGCGCTTGACCTGCAGTATGGCGGGAATGAGGCCTCTGCAAGTGGCACATTAAGCTACATTGTGGATTTAGCCTTTGCTAGTACAAAACAAAAAAAGAGGTTTCTGGGCTACACGCTGCTTGGATAAAAGCATAGACCCACGATAGCTCCCAGAGCTGGTGGCAAAGTACCACGCCACGTTGGGAAGCTGAGGTGGGCGGAGCCAGCAGCCACAGCTGCTGCAGCTTAAAGCAATAGATTCACAATAAGACAGATTCAGATGTAATAGTTTAAAATGTGTGTAAAATATACGTAGGCTTGAAAGAGACAAAAAAAAGATGATATATACAGTATAGAAACAAATATATGGTTTTAAAAAATAAAGTCTTTAAAGAAACAGTAAAATTAATATAAAAAATAAGCCACGTAGAGATGACTATTACACAGAGAGTCTGGATTGTGTTGTCTTTGGGATTCTTAACTACAGAGAGATGTTTGATTGTAAAGAAAGCTGAGTTAAACCAGTATGTATATTTTAAAGATACTTTGACTTCAAAATTTGGATGTAAAGATATGTTGCTTTGGAAAAGAGTCTCTTTTGTTTCCACAGAAAACAAGAGGCTATGGATTTGTTCCAGAGTAAGATACATCAGGTTTGACCAGCCAAGACCCCCTGAAAGGTCTCCGATGACACCATGGCCCAGATGATCCAACATCCAGAACCATTTCAAAACAACTGGCTCAGATGATACAGCCTCACGGACTACTCCATGATCCTAAAATTTTCTTTGTTTCCCCAGAAGATACAGCGCCCCCCTCCAGCAGGAAGTAGTAAGAGAAGCTACGCCCAAATTCCCAAATATACCAAGCTGACTTTGGAGATGTGTAAAGGTTAAAACCTTCCTTTTTAAGAAAAGAAAAGGGGAGGTGCTGTGGGATGGTCTGTATGTCAAATGTATTGCTGATTGGTCAATGAATAAATCACTGATTGGTCAGTGGCCAGGCAGGAAGTATAGGCGGGACTAACAGAGAGGAGAATTGAGAGAACAGGAAGCTGGTGAGGGAGACACTGCCAGCCGCCATCAGGATAAGGAAGATGTAAAGTACCGGTAAGCCACAAGCCACGTGGCAAGGTATAGATTAATAGAAATGGATTAATTTAAGCTGTAAGAACAGTTAGCAAGAAGCCTGCCACGGCCATACAGTTTGAAACCAATATAAGTCTCTGTGTTTATTTGATCGGGTTTGAGCGGCTTGGGACTGGCGGGTGAGAGAGATTTGTCCTGACTGTGGGCCAGGCAGGAAAACTCCAGCTACAGAATAAAATCACCAAGAATCATAAGATATCAAACACATCAATGTGAGCAATTAGAAAGAATAAAATGAGAAGGGGCATAAGAAGAAGAGAAAGAGAAGGAAGGGAGGAAGGCTGAGACAGAATGCATCATCTAACATTAGACAGGGGAAGCTAAGCAACACCACGTTATCAGAAAGTGTGTGTCTCCACATCATGAGAAAGAATATGCCAGGGTAAAGCTTAGCGTGTGGGTGCCAGCTAGGTTCAGTTCAATGCATCCTGCTAAGTCCACCCAGGGCAGTTTTTAAACTAGTTTGTTAGTAGACTAGGAAGAAAAAGTAAAGAATTTAAAGAAATCACTAATTGCAGTAAGTTGAGGAAGTGGTCTTCAGGCATAACAAGATGACAGTAGGTAGAAAAATGTCAGTAGGCATAAATGTTTAATTAAACATGTAGAACCAGTTGGCAAAAGTGTGTATGTGACTGTATATGTGTATGTATGTGTGTGACATGTGCACATTTGTGTTGATGACTCAATAAACACTAAATTGATCAACCTAATTCAATTAATTTTGGAGACAATACTGTAAACCATAGAACTAAACTTATTAAAAAAATAATCTTGATGGGTGGTGGTGGCACACACCTTTAATTCCAGCTCTCAGGAGGTAGATATAGATGGATCTATGTGAGTTCAATACCCGCCTGGCCTACAGAGAGTGTTCCCAGACAACTAGGCTTATAAAGAGAAATCCTGTCTTGAAAAACCAAACAAACAAACAAACGCAAAAACAAAACAAGCAAAAATTCTTTATTGCCTGATTTGGTGGTGCAAGCCTATAATACCAAGAAATCAAGAGGCTGAAGTAAAATCATGAGTTCAAGTCCTACCAGGCTGCAGAGCAAGTTCATGATCAGTCAGAGCCCTATATAAAAACCCTACCTCAAAATAAATAATGTCAAATAAACAAATGATGACAACACCAAAACAGCAGAGGCTCGGAGTGTGACTCAGTGAGGAAAGCCTCGTCTAGCATGCATGACCCTGTTTTCATCTCCGTTCCCCCAAAGAACCAGACGACATGTGCATTTTAGAGGGCGTTCTGGCCATTGAGGATGCACACACTAATGATGCAGTTGAGAGCAATTTAGATTGGATTAAGTCTCTCAAAGGACAGAAAGGCATACTGCCAAAACCTTCAAAGATGATTTAAAGATGTCCTCAAATATTGCAAGATATACTGCACACAAATATGAACACATACTTCCATCGACACACAATGGTGGTACAAACCAATGGTGAAATGGAGTAGCATTCTGTAGACACATGAAAAATGACCCAAACCTTGGTTTTAATCAAGCATGTGCACCTCATAATCAAATAGTGTTTTTAATCTCTCAAGTTTAGAAAATGTTTAAAGACTGCAATCTTGTCATTTTTTAATCTTGTCAAAAATTTTATCATTAATAAAACTGACAATTTGCATATGATTTTTTCCATAGCAATTGGGTCATATGAGTTAACATTACAATTTCAAATATTGTAAACTAAGTTACAACTACACTTTTATCATTTGTATCACATAAACATGGTCCTATAGATTAGTGTGCTCTGGCTCTTCCATCAGCATGCCTCATAGACTCACATAGGCCCAGGGAACATCTCTCTCGGCTAGACCTAAATTGGAAATTTATAAACAAGTTCTCCAGGCCTATGTGAGTCTGTCCACATTCATGTTCATTTGTTTTCACATGTGATATGCATGTGGAGGCCAGAAGACCACCTTGGATGTTGTTCCTCAGGCTTTGTCCATTTCATTTTCAAACAATGACTTTCTTCGGCTTGAGTTCATCAAATATACTAAGCTAACTGGCCAGTGAGGCCCAGAGATCCCCCAGTCTCTGCCTCCCTAACGCTGGAATGACAAGTGTACGCTGCTATGCCCAGCTTTTCACATGAACGCTGTGGATTTCATCCACGTCCTCATGCTTGTAATACAAGCACTTTAAACCCATCTCCTCTTTCTGGTGCTGGGATCACAGGTGTGCACCACGCCCTTGTGTTACAGGTTCTTTCAAGCAAACACTTTTTTCAGAGGAAGTAGTCAAAGCTTTCACTGGCCAGTGTTGGTCTATCAGGACAACTTAAATGTTATTTTAGTCAACATACAATGCTGATAAACTAACAAAGAGAGAGAAGCGGGGGACTCTTAGAGTTTCACTTCAGATGCAGTTTCTCTTTGAATAGTTTTAAACACACAACTTTTAACTTTATCAGTAGCTGTATTTCTCTACAATAACATTTTAAGAAAATTGATATTTTAAGTTCTTATCCATTTAAGTATCTTCTGAAACTGGACCAAAATCAAGATTTGGTTCACTTATATTTACCCTTCCCATTTCCTTTTAGATTTCCTGGATGAAGCAACACACCTGAGGTCCTTCAGTGAAGCTCTGTGGAGAGCAGAGGCATCTATAAGGCCGCCTGGTCCTGTCGCAGGTCTCGGCATGTCCATGGCATTGGCATCTGTGAACACGAGCACCCCACACACCTCAGAAGCAAGCCACCAGCAACACATTCAAGAGCCTGTGGGTGTACATGCTCCACACTTGAGAAAGGCAAACCTGACTCTCTCTGACTGTATGGACCCAACCTCAATGATTTGTAAAGGTAACTGTGAAGACACCTTGAGAAGGGAAGTGAGATGGTGTACAGTAACTCCCTCCAACCATGTGGTATTTGTCACAGGAAGGCATTTGTTGAAACTATTCAAGCTACACTTAGGAAACTGTAGATTTCCAGTTTTTGCCCTTTGTTTCATAGTAATGTGGAAAATATTATTTAATAGCATTTCTTTTGTTATTATATTACATAACAAATCAGTGTTGATATTTTGGGTCTTCTTATTTTAGGATATCTCTTTAAATGCTCAAGATACACCATTTTTCTAGAACAATCCATTTCAAGTGTACTGTATATATATTTTGCCATACCAAACAATATGCTGCCTAGATTTGAAGCTATTTTTCATTGTGAGTTATGTTCTTAACCGTGATGATAAATTTATCAACAATTAGGGTACAATATATTTCTCTTTTGATGACAGACAGGTGACCTTCTGGAACTTTGAACTATGAACTTTAGAAGACCAAGTGTCATACTTTATACTATCTGGCACTATAGCTACAACCCAAATTTTGTTTCTTCTTTTTTTAAATATAGAGAATAGTTTAAAATTATATTGTAAAACAAAGTAAAATGTATGATAAATTCTGCCTATGTCATATTTAGAGAAATTCCGAACATATCATATTTAGAGTATCATACCTTTTTCTTACAGTCTGAGGATTAAGCTTACTCAGCCACTAAACACATTCTCAACCTTCAGAATATTGTGCTTTCTGAGTGGACAATCTTTTGAAAGTTCCTTCTCCAATCTGGCCTGCTCCAAGAGCTCAGCTACTACATTTTTTAAAAAAATATGTACATCAAACACCTGATTTAAAAAAAAAAGCACAGTGAAACTAACAGGGCATTCAGACCTCTGGTCCTCAGTACTACCTCCCAGTGATGGTGATCTCATCCACTGCATAGTATCTGTGTCGCGGGTCAGCAGTGCGCTCGGCTGGATAGAACTGCCCGTGGAAGTGCAGCCTCACTTGAGTGGCATGCATGAATTCTTGAAGCAGTGAGCTATTGTAGAAGTCATCGTACCCAGGACGCTGCTTCTGTCCAGGGGTCAGGAGGTCAAAGGTGACATTACCATGGGAGAATGGGGTAAAACTGTCAAGGAAAGAAATTTTGTATTTTTAAAAGCTATTCATGGTTTTGATCAAATGGAAATCACAAGTTTGGGTTATTTCTATACAGTGTCAGGAAACTACCAAGTTCTTCAGTGTTGGGAAATGAATAAATATTCCATTCATTTCACATAGAAGTAAAGTGGGATCATCACAGAGAGGCTGACTAGAAGTTCCATGAGAACATAAATGCAGATGGCTGGCTGAATAAGATGAGTGCCATATTAGACAGCAGTAGTGGACTGTAAATGTAAATACTTCTGTCCTTTATGGGAACTATAAGCAGTTTAAAACTCAACTGGTGGTGGGGGGGGTGGGGGAGAGGCACACTAACTCAACGTCCCTAAAACCAGTGATCTCTGCTAGCCTAGTCAGCTGCCTGGCCCACAGGTTAGGACAAAGGCATTAGTTTATTAAAAACAATTGTTTTGGAAGTGTTCATACTCAGGAAACTGAAGGCAGTTGACAGAATCAAGATTTTCCAAATCTCCATTATCTTTAATCCTCCAAATACTGCAATTTTTAGCAAAATACTGCCAGTCCTCCCAGGGAGAGCTGTCCACCTTCTTCCTCTGAATTCTTATTGCTGCAGGCTGTGGGCTGGAGAAGTGAATGATGATTTGAAATACCTGGGGATGGAAATGTCCATTATTATTGTCATGGGTGGTTAAGTTGAACACATTGTTAAGGAGTCAAAACACAGACTTCAGATTTGAATATAAAGACTCACTTCCTTTAATTATTGTGATGGACAATTTAAGGAACATCTAGGAACTTCAGACCTATAGTAAAAGCAATACATTCTCTAATTACATATTTCTTCCTATTCTCAATGATTTTGTAAATCACAGTGAACCCATTACAAAGATATGAACAAAGAAAATGACTCCCATGAAGTACATATGAATAAGCACCTGTCCTATTAATGTATGTTCTTATTAAAAGAAAGTTCAACAATTCCATAGATGCCATTTTAATACCAGTCTGTAAACATTAATTTAAATACTGGATGTCAGCTTTAGCTACTGTGATTTCATTCATTACAACTCTAGTTTTTGCCACATAGTGGATGAATTGTACATCCGAGTAAATATGTTCAAGAGGTAACTACAGGTGCTTGTGAGTATAATCTTCTTGGAAATAGCCATTACAGATCTAATAAACCCAAGGATCTTAAAAAGAGATCATTCTATTTAAAGAGAAAGAGAGGGGGAAATTAACACACTCTGAGAATCACGGAAGGGGGCTCGGTGCAAACAGGCAGAACCTGGAGTTACAGGTCCGTGAATTAACAGACGTCACCGGAGGCAAGCAAGACTCTTCCCTGCCCATCTTCATCTGGAGGGAGGGCATCCCTGTCAACACCTTTACTGCACATTGTGAGTCCTCAGGACTGTGAGAGAACATTTCTTTTCCTCAAAGGCATGAACTGAAGCCGCGAGAGCTTAGGCACCGTGCTGTCTCTGATTACCTGGTACTGTCCATTTTCCAAGTCTACGGAAATAATCACGCCTTGATTGAGCTGCGTCAAGTCTGCAAATACATGGGAAATCCATGACGTAGCCATGTCATTATCATTGATGAAGGAGAGAGGATGGGCTTCGGGATTCAACCGTGATACTCGATGATGGGGTCCATCTTCTGCACCATTGGGAATGCAGTACTGCTGGAGGAAGGGGTGGACACGGGGGTGGCTGCCTGGGCAGCGGCAATGTGGCTGGGTATGCAAGTGGGGGAGATCTCCAGAAAAGAGCTCCAGAATCTCTCTGCAATGGTCCAGAGAAGAAGGTAAGGTCATACAACTTCATGGTGACAGAACTCCCAAGAATTGATAGTACCCTTCTGGTGTTTGGCAGACTGACCTCCTAAGAACTGATAGTACCCTTCTGGTTTTTGGAGGGCTGACCTCCTAAGAGCTGATAGTACCCTTCTGGTGTTTGGAGGACTCTAAGAGCTAATAGTACCCTTCTGGTGTTTGGAGGACTGACCTCCTAAGAGCTGATAGTACCCGTCAGGTGTTTGGAGGACTGACCATTTAGCTTTAATAATTGTTTTCAATGGAATAGAAAATAAAACTCACTTTGGACAAATAAAATATCCTTACTACCCTAAAGTTCTGTGATGGTGAGAATGTTGATTGTCAACTTGACAGAAATTAGAACCGCCTGGGAGTCAAAGCTCCAGGCATACCTGGGAAGGACTGTCTGGATTAACAGTATCCTCTGAGAATATCTGTGAGGAATTATCTAGATTACATCATTTGATGTGGGAAGACCCATCTTAACTGTGGTCAGCATGATGCCCTTTGCAGATTTCCTGGATTATATGAAATAGAGAAAAACAATCTGAGTTCTTGCAAGCAAGCATCCCTCCCTGCCTGCTTCTCCACTGTGGATGTGATGTGGCCAGTGGCTTCCTGCTCCATCTGCTCTCACTGTTCCACGTGAAGGACTGTACCCTGAGCTGTGGGCACAACACACCCTTGTCAAATCATTCTGTCATAGGGACAAAGAAAGACACTAAGACAAATGTACTTCAAAAATGGGATGTTTTGTTTTAAGTCTAAAAAAATTATGGTGTGTGTGTGTGTGTGTGTGTGTGTGTGTGTGTGTGTGTGTGTGAGAGAGAGAGAGAGAGAGAGAGAGAGAGAGAGAGAGAGACAGAGAGAGACAGAGACAGAGACAGAGACAGAGACAGAGACAGAGACAGAGAGAGAGCAGGAATGTAGAAGTCAGTGTACAACTCTCAGGAGCAAGCCTCTCCTCCCACTGCGAGCACTGGGGACTGAACTCAGGTCATCAGGCTTGCAAAGCAAGCACTCTGGCCATGGGAGCCATCTCATTGACCCTGAAGAGCTACAACAGAATGGCTAGCCATGCCTAGTGGCACATGCCTGTGATTCCAGCTGTTTTGGATAACGTCACAAATAGTTCCAATTTAAGATCTGCTTGAGCTACAAAGAGAGTTCAAGGATAGCCTGGGCAACATAATGAGATCGTGTCTCCAAATGAAAAGCAGAAAGAGGGCTGGAGGCATATGCCACTGATAAGCACTTGCCTCTTGTCTGTGAGGTCCTGTGCTCAGTTTCTAGAACCAGAAAAGGACAGAGGAGGAGGAGGAAGAGGAGGCAGCATGTGTAAGCCCTGCTCTTTATCAAGGTATTTTGTTTAAATTTAATATCACTGTGCCTATTTGTGATGATGTAGAAAGGAGTCATATATCTGGATTTTAAACTGACTTACACTGTGAGTGAACAGCAATATATTAAAAATAATGAGATTTAGTATGACATCTCCAGTTCATCCAGGGGAAAGCATAAGAAAGCATGTATCATTTTATAGGCTTCTCATTTGGGTGAAGGAATTGAGGCCAAGGCCATTTGTCAATGGTTTCCTGTGACTCATCTGTGAGATTCTGGCTTCCTGAAATGTTTCAATGGCTTCAGATCATACGCCGGCTGCCAACAGTCAGACAAGAATGCCAGGGGCGGACCTAGCTATTTAATTTTTCCATTAAGAAGAATATGCCTGCTGTAGAGCTGCACAGGCCATTCTCTTCCCACCATTTCCATCACCGTCTTCCAGACAGTCAATACCAATAACCCACATCTGACTAGAGGAAACAGGCTTCCTTTCAGACCCCAGTGGGGAGATGGTGGAGGTGGCTGACTTTTTCCTCCACTAAGGGACATGAAGTAACTACTAGAAATCTCACTGACAATTTTCAATTGACATCAGCTATTGAATGTGTTCCAAAGTCAATAACTGGTATGAAATCTTTGCTCTGGCTAGAAAAAAAACGTCATTCCAAAGAATGGTAGTGACATTACTCTTCAGCATAGTAGGTACAGGCAAAGGAGATTTGAAAACTAGCAGGCAAGGGGCATCCCATTTCTACCCTGTTCCATGGTATGGCATCCTTGTCAAAGCATCCCCTGATTCTTCAGACTGATAAACAAGGGGAGTTAAACTGATCATGGGTCTACCATAGGCTACAGCATCACTCAACTGAGATGTTTCTCAAATCTCTGAAAGCAAGTCCTGACATCCCAAAATTTAACACGCTAATCTACATTTCCCTTGAAGAGATATATAAAAAAATTCCCTTGAAAATCATATATAGGGGCCAAGGAAATATCTCAGCAGCTAGAAGCTCTTGCAGCCAAAAATCTGATGATCTGAGTTCAGATCTCATGAGGTCAGACATGGTATTAGTAGTGCACATCTGAGATCTCAGCACTCATACTCAGAGACAGAAAACACAGAAGAATTCTTAGAAGCCATAGACCAACCAGTCTGAGGTATGCTGAACAATGACTAAAACAAGAGAGACCCTGTGTCTTGAAACAAGGTAGAAGTTAAGAATACACACCTGAGGTTGTCCACTGACCTCTGCATGAAAACCCCCACATAGCAACACACACACACACACACACACACACACACACACACACACACACTACACACTACACACTACACACTACACACTACACACTACACACAAAAATAAACCAAGCAAATAAGATTAACTCATCCATACAAACACATTGTCTTGGGTAGGGTTACTATTGCTGTGATAAAACACTATAATCAAAGCAACTTGGAGAGGAAAGGATTTGTTCAGCTTAGGCTTCCACACCATTGTTCATCACTGAAGGAAGCCAGGACAGGAACTCAAACAGGGAAGGAATCTGGAGGCAGGAGCTGACACAGAGGCCATGGATAGATGCTGCCATGGCTTGCTCAGTCTGTTTTCTTATAGAATCCAGGATCACCTGCTCATGGGTGGCCCTACCCACAACAGGCCAGGCTGTCCCACATCCATCACTAATTAAGAGAATACCCAACAGGCTTGCCTGCAACCAGCTCTTATGGAGTCACTTTCTCAACTGAGGCGCTCTCCTCTCCAGTGACTAGCTTTTGTCAGGTTCACATAAAACAAGCCAGAACAACTGGCCCCTTGTCAGTTGACACACAAATACATCACTGTTAAGTCACAACTTTTGCTTTCTTATTAATCTCCAAGATTTCACATTAAAAACGTAAGTAACTTTAAAAGTCCCGCAGTCTTTAAAAATTTAAATGCACTAAAGTTCAGTATGTTTAAAATATCCATTCTCTTTAGAAATCCAAAATCTCTTTTCAAAGCTCAAAAATTTTCAACTGTGGACTCCTGTAAAATCAAAATTCAGTTAAAAACTTTCTTACTTCAAGAAGGAAGAACCTGGACATAGTCACAATCTGAATAAAGAAAAACCAAACTCCAACAGTGTAAACTCAATGTCCAGTATCTGGGATTCATGCATGATCTCTGGACTCCTCCAAAGCACTTGGGGCACTTCTCTGGCTCTGCCCTCTGTAGCACACAGCTTGTCTCCTAGGCTCAAACTGGATCCACTCCATACCTGCTGTTATCCTTTGTGGTCATCCATGGAAAGACTGGCCTCCCCAAAATGTTGGAGTCTCTTGCTACAAATAGGCCACACTTTCACAAATAACCTCTCTAGTGCTCTCCTCAGGAACTCCAACCCTGCCACACAATTTCAAGCCTCAGCTGCTCTCCATGATCTCTTCATGCCATAACCAGCACTATCTGGATGACTTTTAATCTACCAAGTTCTGCTGTCAAAAAATCTGAATTTGTCAAGGTTCTCTAGATGAACAGACTTTATAGAATGAATTACGTGTGCATGTGTGTGTGTTTAGTCTGTGGTCTGGTTAGTTCAACAATGGCTAGGTCCAAGAATTTGGTAGTTGTTCAGTCCATGAGGCTGGATGTCTCAGCTGGTCTTCAGTATATGCCAGAATCCTAAAGAGACAGGCTCTAATGTCAGTGAAGCAATAGACTTGCTGGTGAAAGGAAGCTGAAGCAGGCAGAGAGTAAGCTTTCTTCTTCCCTATCCTTATATAGGCTTCCAGGAGCAGGGGTAGCCCAGTTTGAAGGTGAATCTTCCCATCCCAAAAGATCTGAATTAAAGGTATATCTTCCCACCTCAAAGATATGAATTAGAAGTGAGCCTTCCCACTTCAAATGATTTAAGAAAAAAGTCCCTCACAGGTATACCCACCCATCCATTTGGGTTTTAGTAAATTCCAGATGCAGTTAAACTAACAACCAAGAATGGCCATCACACCCACACTATCTCACCTAGGTTCTATAATGACCAAGAATGGCCATTACACCCACATTATCTCACCTAGATTCTAAGTCAGGATTCTTCAGAGGTCATCTCCAGTGGAAACTCATGGGCAAAAGATGGGAACCAATTTGCCTGTGCAAACCCTAAGATAGATTTTTGTTCTACTCTCTAGAAGAGGGAATGCTTGGAGAGTGCTCATCACAGTCTATCTGATGTTTTGTAAACTAGAAATAGAAAACAAATGTACAATACTTCAGATATTCAATCATTCTAAGGACCTTGTCCCTCAAAACTTTCTCGTGTATCAAAATAGCCAGTCATTTTATTGTTTCACATTCTCTAAAGCTAATAATTTCTACAAGCAATTCTGAAAGTCATATGTATCAATTTTAAGTGCTAACATCTACCTTATATAGAATTTTTGAACAAATACTTTAAAATCTATGTTGTGTTAACACAATAAATTTTCTCAGAGAAAATTATTTGTGAATAATTTTGATCACTGCCATATTACAAGGAGTTTCTGACAGAAAAATATTAGTGAAAGAGTATAAATTATGATAAAGTAAATATGGCCAAATATAAATTAGGTAAGGTTTGCCAATTGCTATAAAGATGAAGCCCTTATCCTCATGTATTCCAAGTGTTATAATACCATATCCACTTACCTGTTTGTAAGTGACACATTGTACAAACGAAAATCTTGCATTCTTCCAACAAACTGCTCTAAACCTGAAAAATATGTGTAGATAAGAAACCCCAGAACCCACGCAAGCATGTAGATTATTCATCTGACATTCCTTCAAAACAACAAAATTTTAAATTACCTTCCCATTGGTACCCCTTCAAATTCATGAAGATTTGTGTCTGTTTTCGAATTCTACATGATTAATACTAATTCTATTTATCTCCACAGCTCTAGCAAGACTATGAAGTCAAAGTGAGTCCCTTAGCAGATTACTTCCAGACCCAATTCATAGCTGTGCTTCCCTAAATTCCTCTCTCACTTACAAATATATAAATCTATTATTTCAGCAGCCTTAAATTTGTTTGTTGTCTACTTTCAATAGCAATTTTCAGAATATTGCTCTGCCAGTGGGAAAGCTTCCTGTTCTCCTATCCCACCCATTCTAGATCAAACTCTAGAATGTTGATTCCAACTAACACAAATGCTCATCCAGAAAGCCTCAAAGCAAAAACAAAACAGCAATGCAGACGAATATAAGATCTGTTGCTCATGGATATTGAGTCATCCATATATTGCAGAAGAGCACAAATTCAGTCTCAAAATATTATCATCCCCTAAGAATTCTTCTGAGGTTATCAGGTTCAAAGACCACAATGCCATCATAGAGCACTTCCATCCTTAGGTAAATATTAGCCTTTACAGACACAGTATTATTTGTATATTTACCAAACACTTATGAGGGCAGCTAAGCTCAAGAGATTTGGAACTACAAGGAAGGGAAAGGAAAGTAAGGGGATGGGCAACAGGTCAGAAGGGGAAAGTGCCTGCCGTGTTTGCTTCTCAGAAACTATGTTGGAAGTTCCATGGAGTGGCATGCAGCTGCAATCCCTACTTGGGGGCAACTAGCCTGGAATATGCATAGCAGCAGAAACATGAGGAGACAGCTGCCTTATCAAGGTGGAAACCAACTCAGAAAAGCTGTCCTTTGACCTCCACATATTTCTCTTTGGCATATATACATTCAGTCAGAGGTACATCAGAATCACACCACACACACACACACACACACACACACACACACATACACACACACACACACTCACACACACACCAGAAAAGAAAAAATAAAGGAAAGAAAGCAAAACAAACAAACAAACAAACACAGTTATAGTTTGAATCTGAAATGTCCCCTACAGATTCACATTTTGAGTCATTGGTCGCCAGCTGCTGGTGCTAATTGGGGGCATGTGGACCTTTACCAGGTGGATCCCTGCTGGAAGAAGTAGGTATGGTCGATGGGCCTTTGCAAGTTTACCTGGCTCTATTCTTTGCTGGCTTTCTGCTTCCTGGTCCACAGTGATATGGACAGACTCCTCCACACATACCATCGCCATAGCCTGAGTTGTTCTTCATGCCCTCCCTATCATGAATGACTGAAACAAAGAAACTCTGATACACAGTAAATTCTTTCTCCCTTAAGTTGACTCTGCCTGGTATTGTGGTCACAACACAAAAAATAACTAATACAACTACCACCTCTGAATCTTTGTTCTGTGTTTAATAAAAAAAGAAAACATCAGGCTGGAGTTTGGCTCATGAAGACCCCAGAATAGGATGGGATCTAATATATAACATCAATTCAGTAACTGAGTGTTGGTTGAAAAATTAAATTCTAACCACTGGCTAATTTAAAAAATGCCATTTTACTAAAAGTTCATTTTTTGAAAAGTCATTTTTCAACAATGTCTTAATAATAATTTTCAAGAAAGTTTCTTTCTTTTTTTTTGTGCTACTGTTCCTTGGAAGACATTTGGAGAAAACTAGTCAGAGGAAAGTTGTTAGGTGAATAAAAGATGGACAGTAGAGGCCACAGAGATGGCTCAGCAGTAATGTGTACTAGCTGTGTTTCCAGAGGACCTGGGTACAACCACCTGTAACCATCTAGTTCTAGAGGAACTGATGCCCTTTTCTGGCTTCTGTGGATACCAGCCATGCACATGGATCGCAGACATACATGTAGACAAAACAACCATCAAACAAATAACCAAATCGTGGGCATCCAGAATAAACTCTTGTATCTATCCAAGAAAATCAAGGGAGATTCTGAGAAGATCACAAGATCAGGGGTGTTATGAGAAAAGCACAAAAATCATAAGAGTCTATACCTGAATATATGTATCTACACTTGAGCACATACATTTATGTTGTTTATTTGAAGACAGAGCTCAGAGGTAGATCATCACTTGCTCAGCATGCACAAGGTCTGGTTCAATCCCCAGCACCACCAAAAATAAAATTGAACAAACTACACTGTTTGCATGCAATGCTGATATTTAAATGATATACATCCCAGAAAATGGTTGAGAATATGTGAATATTATTCATAAACATCAGTATTTTCAGTTGATAAACTGAGATAAACGTTGTTGAGTTGCTTTTGGCCATGATATTTATCACAGCAACAGAAAAGCAAATTAGAACACAATGGTACAAGGAAGAATATTCTGGATTTAGAAATAAAAGAAAAATGGGAGGGGTGCATGTGGGTACCTCTAAGTCCTGTACGCTTACATGATATTTTTGGGAAAAGAACGGAGCCAAGGATGTCACTTTTCATGGTATTAATTCTCCTTGAGAGGAAGAAGGTCATACTGCCTGCCTAAAACAAACAAAGCTGGACTCATCTCCTATCTGCCCTTTTACCTACCCCCACCCACCCACAGTTCTTATCTGGACATCCTTCCTATTCCATACTACAGTCCCAAAGATTAAATTCTGAATGTTCTTTAACTCTTTAACACTCAATCCTAAGACTTTACACTGGATATTTCAAGAATTCCTTCCTTACCCAGTTCTTATCTCAGCTTTGAATTATGTCCCCTAGAAAATATCCTGAGGCCACCACAGTGCTATAAGTTCCTGTAACACTTTGATGTGTTCCTTTCATTCTGTTACAGGTACCTACTTACTTCTTTATCTGTCCTATGACACTTGAAGTACATTAAATAAACTTCCTCAGTAAGATAAAGTATTTGTTTTCATTCATTGGTCTATCCACAGCTCATAGCCATATTCCTGTCAGCTGGTAAATTATCCAATGATGTTCAATATGAAGGAAATAAAATAAAAGGGATGCAGGGAGTGAGTGAGATGGTTCTGAAGTGAACTTAGGGAGAGGGATGAAGATGTATATTGGTTTCCACGGGAATAGGCCAGAAGGATGACTAGAAATGATAGACTCCTTATGGTGTATTTCCATGGTGACTTTGTACTGGCACAGGTATGCAAGATGGGTGAGTTAAAAAAATATTTGCACATCCCAATATCTTGAAGTGTCAAGTGACTGGTGGTACCCAGCACTGACAGTTGTACATCAAAACGAGGGAAATATAAGGTTAAGGCTCCTATACAAAGGAGGAGAGATGATGTGTACATGTGGATAGGGTCATAGGAAAGTGAATCAAGGAACAATTGATAAACTATACAACAAAGAACAAACGGCAAATGAGAACAAAAAAAGTCCAAGAACTGACTGTGTCCTTGAGGCCAATGAACTGTGCGGTGGAAATGAAAAAACAAGATATTTGAAATAATGACCAAATTTACTGAAGCCTTTTCTAGAAGTACATAAAGTGTCCCCAGTGTTCCTTCGGGCAGTTTGCTGACTGATGCTGCCCCAGCAGAGTTTTCATATTCAAAGCCTGAGTGTCCATCAAGAAAGACTCTGTTCTGGGCAAAACTGTGTCCCCACAAAGTTGTAACTCCTCACACTTGAGGATGTCACTTTACTTGTACATAGTGTCTTTGCAGAGGTAATCAAGTGAGGTGTCACTAAAGAAGGCCCATGTTGAAGATGTCATTTATAAGGTAAGGAAACAGTCCAGACACACAGGACCAAAAGCGTGTGAGGAAAACACATGCAGTGCTGAAATCAGAAACAAACACAATTCAGAGACAAGGGAGCCTTCACTCTGAGTTTTCAAATTGAACAGAGTCCTGTATAAACTTAGCATTGTTCTTGTCGGGTCCTGAACTCAAAGGAAACAAATTTCTACTGTATAAGCCACCCACACTGTTAATTTAGCCACATGAAATTTACAAAATCATACAAAATTAGTAACACTAATTTATATAACAAGTTGCCCATGTGACTCAACATCTTTCCTCAGTATAAAAATATTGTGTACAATGTTTATATAGGAGTGCAGAGGGAAATGTTTTGAATCAAGCAACCAGACCAGAACAAATAGTGGATGTGGTGGGTTGAATGAAAATGTCCCCCATAGGTTCATGTATTTGAATATCTGGTCCCAAGTCTGTGATACTATTTGAGGACATAATGGAAACTTCAGGAGCGCAAGCTTTCTGGAGGAAGTATGTAGTTGGGGTTGGGCTTTGAGGTGTTATAATTTGATTCCATGTCCTGTTCTCACTCTTTGCTTCCTGATTGCAGCTGAGATATGATCTCTCAGCTTCTTGTTCCTTTCATTGGAAGCCATGCCTCCCTGCCATGATGGACTCTTGTCCCTCTGAAAGCACAAGCCAGAATATCAGTTGTTTATAAATTAGTTGTGATCATGTTGCTTCATCACAGCAACAGATACAGTGAGCAATTTTTCATGACATTGGAAAGATACGCTGTCAATGAAATGTAACCCAAATTACAGACACTTGTGTAGTGGGTAGCCATTCCAGCTTTGATCTGGAAATTCCAATCCCCATTGAGATTTTGGCAACTGTCACGCCTACAAGGCGGGGCTGAGGGAGGCGCCTGGAGACTCGAGATCTGGATGGGCGAGCGCTCTCGCTCGGTTCCGGATCCTGGTTGGTAGAGGTGGGCCAAGCAGAGCTCCAGAGAACTCCAGGTGGACTTCGATACACCTTCCCCAGACCCCACGACCTACCTATCCCTTAATTTGTAAGTTACGCCATTAAATAAATCTCCTTTTAACTACGTGGAGTGGCCTTAATAATTTCACCAATATCTGGTGCCCAACGTGGGGCTAGAACCCATGACCCTGAGATTAAGAGTCTCACGCCCCTT